TATATAACTCATTGTTATTCGAGCATCGTTTATTGCATGGATAATGCATGTTTTAGCCGATAACGTAAATTTGTCAATGTCTATTTTCCCTGGGATCGTTCGTGCTTTGAATACATTCGCAAATGAATTTAACATTGAGAAGTAAACATTAAAAAATGAATTTTATTCAATGTTAATGACGATCAAACGTTAATAGTATGGAAATGTAATACTGTTTTAATAATTAAAAAAAAAAAAATAAATAAAGAAAAAATATAAATGAAAATAATAATTGATAAGTTTTCGTATGATTTCAAATGATTCGTAAGATAATTCAGAAGGGTAGGTTAACCCCTTGAGTACTGAATTATTTAAAGATTTTTATGCATATATATATATATATAACATATAATATGCATACATAATTTGTTGCTAGATGAATGAATATGTAAAAGTAATACATATCATTTGGAATATATTTATATTGGTGATATAAATATATATATTTTTTTTGCAAAAACATTTTAATTGCAAACTATAAATAAATATATGAATGAAACAAAATTGAAATATTTCGATATTTTATATTTATATATTGATATAAGCTTCTTAAATTTAAATGACGAGTCAGACACGTCCACCGTAACTTCGTTCAAGTAAACAGATGACGAGTCTCACTCGTCAAATGTAACCAATGGGTTAACCAGTTAACCAATAATCGTTAGATTCTTTTATTATGTAGATATTTTTGAAGTGACAAAATGGAAACTTTATTTTCAGTTACTACGCGTCTACCGCTTTTCCACCTCGTTTGGCACCACCCCTGAAGAGACCACGTTTAATGCCACCTGCACGATCCCAACATCCGAAGCAACAGAAACAACAACCTAGCAACAATACAGCCATGGTACCGGACTTGAATCAACTCAAAGTATACAGTGAGTAATACTACCTTTAACTTCATCTCATCCCTCCACCCACACACCCCTGCCTCCCCCCACCCCCACTCCTGATCTTTGTCTTTTTTATTTCATCCTTAAAAACGTTCACGATTATTTTTACAGATAATATTGCGTTGACATACCTGTTTGAAATATCACACAGTACATTGTAACATTTTTATTTGTACTTTCAATGGACTTTGATTATTGACAAAGAATATTGTTGAGATTTTTTCTTTTTTGTTTTTTTTGTTAATTTTATACAGTAACATTTATCACTGTAATATTTTCTTTGAACTTACATTTGAAGATACATTTCATTGTATCATGTGAGCAAAAATTGTTTATAATCATCTTTGAAAATTGATATTGTATATTCTTTGATTAATTTAGAAAAACATTTTATACAGTTTTAAAGCTTGTTTTAAGAAGATTGTAATAAACCTCACTAATGCTTTCAATACTTGATCACTTAAAAAATAAGTAAACGATTTTGAAATTAAACAAAATATATTCTTCTACATTTGCTTCAATTTTGTTCGTCTTAATTTTTAATTTATTTTATTTATAGAGAAAATGTTATCATAATTTTATGGGAAAAATATAATGACTAATAATAAAAATGTATTGAAATTAGTTGTTTAATAATAATAATAATAATAATAATAATAATAATAATATAATTTATGTACATGTAATTTAATTTATAATTATTAATTACATTATCTGAATAATGAATAGTTTTAATGTATTTTTTTTTTTTCCGCTACCACATATTCCCCATAAAATTATGTTAAAATATTCTAAAATGATGGAAAAGATAATCTTACGTAGTTTAGTTCAAGAAAAAAAAAACTACACAATAAAGAAATAATAAGAAATAATAAAATAAAATGAAAATTACGAGGAGGGGAAAAAAGAAAAACAAAAGCAGATATAAAAGGATGTAAAATTGCATCCCTTTAATATTTTTTGCCAACGATTAAATATAAAATGTGCAAAATAATATTTTAAACAAGTTTTTTAAGAATTTAAACTTATATTTGCAACATAAGTTATAATAACTGTAATAATATTTTTCAACATTAATCAAATACACATTTTATTACTGTATAAAATTAACAACAAAAACAAAAACAAACAAAATCAAACAAACTACAAAATCTTGAAATTATCCTCTTTCCCTTCCACCTTTTTTTCTTTTTCGACAGCTTAAAAGCATGAGACAAACAAAAAACCAAATAACAAAAAACAAAATGAAAGAAAAGAGTCTACAAAAAAGAGTAGAATTATTTTCTTAACTACGAGCAGTTTACCGTAAAGTGCTGACCAGGGGACAGACACCAACTGAGAGAGAACGCAAACGTAGTCCTTTGATGGGCCACGAGTCCTTTTAATGGATGATCGTTGAGAGAAAAAGAACGTCAGCCTTTTAAAGCCGTTGATTTAACAGTTTTAGAAACGCGATCTTTGCGACGTAAAAAACCTCACTCACCATTTACCTGCCATCTTCAACAACCAAACGGATTCTCTCACTCGCACACTCAAACACACACACACACATTTTATTTCTTTCTGATGATGCACTTAAGCAATGATCGGTCGTTTAAAAAAAATTTCCTTCTAAATTCAACTTGCAAACCTCGAAAAACTTAATTGTCTCCTCCCCTCCCCGCCACCTTTTCCGTTAAGGACGCCGGCTATAGTCGGCATCTAAGTGAACAATGATATTTTTATACGCGTGCCGACTATAATCGGCATCTATGGGACAACCTGTGTATATGGAATGCAAATTATATCTGACAATTACACCTTTGAAATACTTAAACCCTACTTTGTCGTTACTGACACACCGACTATAGTCGTCATCTATGAGAAGATCTGTATATACGAGGGTAGATTTTAATATTTTTTTGGATACTATTGACTGATCTTATGTATTAATCCTACTTAAAATATATATTAAGAAAAAATATAATAAATATAATATATTTTGGAGTAACCTACGTTCAATGTCAACACAATTCAGAATATTGTTTGTATCAGTGAAAGAAAGGGTTAAAATAAAACCTACAAATAAGAATATAAATCTTTGATTATTTTGAGAAAAATTTACATTAATGTTACTCTCATTTTTAAATACAAAAAATAAATAAATAAATAAATAACAATAAATATAATTTAAGTATACAGAAATTTAACAACTGTTGTTCCAGCAAAGATCTTATTTTCAATTTAACGAATACCCGTTAACCCTTTTACAAATAATGTACAAATTATTTAAATAATTTGAATTTTAATACTATAACAAATTATTTTAAATAATCCACAAGATCAATGATTTCTAAATTTAAACGATAACACGTTCATAAAGTTTGCAAAGTTTTCTTTTAAAAAAAAATAAAAACAAAAAAGAGAGATAAACATCGTATATTATAATATTTCATTTTATTCGAATACCACTTGTGTGTATTTATTCAAAGATGTCTGTACGTATGTGTGTGTGTGTGTGTTTTTTATTTTTTTTTACTTTTTCCAGGTAATCCAGATATACTTATATGCGGCAACTGCAGGGAAATGTTTTCCGATCTTGGGGAGCTGCTCGAACACAAGCGGAACTACTGCAAACTGCGGTTCACATGTAAATGTCACACCTTCAACGGAGCCGCCCCAAGTATGTACTCGAAAGAAAGTTAGAGGCGCGCCCTTCCGGTACGTAAACGCGTCTCTGACCCGATCGAGTGCCCAATCAAACGCCTCTCGCGAGGTGCACTCTATCCTTTTTCTTTTGTTTTTTTCTCCCACCCCCCCAATTTTTTTTTCTTTCATCCCTTTTTCTATTCTCTCTTTTTTCTTTACAAGAAACAAAACAAACAAACAAACAAATGCTTATCACGAGGTGCACTCTACCCTTTTTTTTTTCGTGCTTCTAAAATGTTTTTTTTTTTATCCATTTTCCTACTGTTACTCATTTTTTTTATTAAAAAAAAAAAAATATATTAACAACAAAACAAACAAATTCTTTTTTTGTTACATTTTTCTCATTATTAACACTTGGCATGCGGGTATACTTCGCTGATTAGTTTTTTTTTTTTTTTTTTAAATTAAATTTCAATGAACCCTTATATATTAGGTTAGGAACCAAAATAGTTCATAGGTTTTTTTATATTAATATTTCACTTGCATATAAAGTAATGTAATTGACTTCAAAAACTAAATTGCACATATCTGAAGCAACCAAACAAATGCACCTACTTTTGATTATGAAAATAATTTAAAATTAAATTTAGGTTCCCTACTATTAGGTTAGAAATCAAAAAAGTTGGTGGATTTTTTTTTTTTTTAATATTTCACTTGCATATAGAATTATTTAATTGACTTCAAACAAAAATTGCACGTATCTGAAGCAACAGAATAAATGTACGAACTTTAGATTAAATTTTATAAATTAAATTTAAATTAACCCTAATATATTTAAGTGAATCCAAAAAAAAAAGAAAGGTTCGTGCATTTTTAATATCAACATTTCACTTGCAACTCACAATAAATGCACAAATTTTTTTAATATAACCCTAACAATTATAAAATCCTTTTAACACTTGGCATGCGCGTACACTTCACCGTCAAGTTACTCGTGCAGCGGGCATTTTTTCGTGAATCGCGCGGAAATTTGATCAAAAGTTTCCTGTATCTTATTTTTTGTGTCTTTGTCGAATTATATACAACATATGCATTGAAAAATGTACAATTCATCATATATATATAACTAAACGCTTTGTCCACTTCACTGTATTGTAATTATACGTTACCGGATTTTCACCATAAATCTACTAAATACGTATTTTTACGTGACCCGCGCTCCAGTGACAGACTGTGAAAAACGTAAAAATACGTTGCCCGCGTGTCACATGTTAAAACAAATAACCTATGCTCGTATAAAAATATCTCACCCATTTTTTTTTTCTCAAAATTTTTCTATCACTAACACTAATTACAAAAAAAAAAAAACAAACAAACAAAGGCCTCTCGGGCGAGTTGCATTCACCCTTTCCCCCCCTCCCCCCCCACGAAAAAAGAATTTTTCTATCCCTTTATTCATTTTTTTTTATTTCTTCATTAAACCAAAAAAAAAAAAAGAAATACTAAGAAAATAAAACACAGTTTTTTTTTTTTACAGTACTTTTTTCTCATTATCGTAACAAATAATCTACGGTTGTTGTACAAAAGTATCTCGTTCGTATGACATTTTGTTTTTTTCTTAATTTAACTTTATATATATATTTTTTTTTAGTCGTTAAATCAAAAAAAAAAAATATCAAGTAAGAAAAAAAAAGGTATAGAAAATGTATATCAACTTGTTCTCTTTCAATGATCATCAAACGAGAGGAAAATATCTTTTACAAAGGAATTCTTTATTTTTTTTTTTCTTTTTCCTTTTTTTTTTATTTCTGTATCACATTATAACAGATTGTATAGATAGAAATCTTTTTTTTTTTTTTTTTAATGGCATCCAAGCAAATGGATGGAAATACATATATATATATATATATATCTTTACTGTCTTTTTTTTCTCCTAATTTCCCTACACGACTTTTCGTTTATTATTAAATCAAATAACTCATCCTAAAAAAGAAACTCCGTATTCGTCTTTTGTTTTTTTTTCCTTTTGTTTCTTTTTCGTCTTCTTTGTCTTCTTTCAGTTTACATTATATTAAAAAAAAATATATATATATTCTATATATAAAAAGGGAAATATGGTAATTTATTTTCATGTCGCATTATTATAAAGAATCACAAAAGAAAAGTTAAACAACGGAACAAATGAAAATACATTCAAGCAAATTATCAAAACTTTCTCATATTATTATCATTATTATTATAAAAATCGATAGATTTTCAAAATGTGCCTAATACTTGAAACTTTAGTCAAAATGTGCCTAATACTGGAACTTTAGTCAAAATGTGCCTAATACTGGAACTTTATTTTCCACCTCTTTCTTTTTTGCAAATCATCGTAAGAAGTAATCTACTTTCTCATTACATTTCCATGAAAATTTCCAATTGATATCGTCCATGAAATAAAATCTTTTTTCAACCCTTTTTTGTCTTTGCGCAACATTCGTGTGTATCAGAATTTCTTTATACCACGAAGGATCATAATGCACACCTGTGTCTACTGCGTATCGTATACATATAAATATGTTCTACGTTAAATGAAACCACTTCGATATCTCTCTGTAAATATGAACCTTTAAAGAAAAAAAAAAAAAGAAAAAAGAAAAAAAACAGAAAAATATCTAAACCTGTATTAGCCTTTTTTTTTAATAATTTTATTCGTAAATAAAATAACCTAAATATTTTTACATATTTACTCAAAGATCAAAGTAATTCATTTAACGTGTTTTGAAATTTCCATTTGCAATCCGTCATAAAAATAAAATACAATTATTATAAACGTCTACAAAAAAAAAAATAAAATAAAATAAAATTTTGTATTAGTCTAAAATAAATAAATAAATATAAATAAATGAGTTACATTGATGCTACAATGTAAAATGGAAATTTGTCATAATTCCTACTAACGTGTGTAATAATTAATAAACTCATCTTAAGTTTAAGAAGTTTAAAAAAAATTACTGACGATGAACCGTTTGTTTCGTTAACGAATAGGAGACTCCACGACAGCCCTGCTCTGTGTCCTCTGCAAGGTTTCTTTCCCAACAGCATGGGAACTAATGGTTCATGCTCAAGCTGCTCATATGATAAACATATACGAACTTGGTACACGGCCACAGAGTCCAAGATCAACGCAAAGTCCACCCCATAGTCCACCACATAGTCCCAGTCAACATGTCAAGGAATCATCTTCACCTTCACCACCAGACTTTCAAGTAATTTACTTTTGATCTATTTATCTGTCATTAAATTACAATAATGGGATCAAGTTGAACCCCCTTGTCCTAAAACCACGAGTCAGACTCGTGATTCAATTGTTCCCGATATTTTCGTATTTCAATTCTTTTCCCTTATTGTAATCCTAAACATCGATAGTTTAGTAATTTAACAGAATGGACAAAAATGTTTAAACAAACATTGAAACCTAATTTCATTTAACAAATGATAAACCGTATTTTATTAGCTTCAAAAATATCCAATAGAAAACATTGATAATACTGTCATGAATTCATTAAAAATCGTGATAATTGTGAAGGTTAGAAAAAGGTTTGAATAACACCAGTAAAAATAAAAAAAAAAAGCAAACTTTGAAAAACCAAAAGTAGTTACTAAAGAGTCAAGTAAAAACAAAGAGTAAAATCATCTTGTCTGGTTCTTTTTGAACTAGAAGAAAAACCCCCTAGCGATTTACGTGATTTAGAAAAAGAAAGAAAGAAAAAAAAAAGGAAGCTTAAGTAGCCGAGCATCTGGCGGCGGATTTTATCGAGATGGACAAGGCCGATGGTGAAAGTCTTCTTACTCTCTTTTTTCACCTTCTCCCACCCTCCCCCGATTCCCCTTTTAACCCCTCACCCACCCTTTCCCTCTCTTTCTATGTTCTTTTCGAGGTGAAGAAAAAAGTTAAGTGGAAGTCGCCGTTCATGTGGCTTTGCCTTTAGGCATACTTACCTTCTATCTCTGTTCAACTTATATTCCAACCGATAACAGGAATCTAAAGACTCCCCTCAACATAGTGAGAAAGTAGCTAACAGTTTTTCCTTCGATCCAAGTTCCTTCGTTGGGGTGGGGAGATTGGGAGGGGGAGTGAGCCAAGGTAAAGGTATTTTCTTCTACTTCTTCTTCTCTTTCATCTATAGTTTTTCCTCGACACCATTTACTACCAACTACTTGAGCCCGGGCTTGTTAATCTGAAAACGTTATTTGAAAAAAAAAAAATTAAACAAAAAAATAACAAATGTGTAAAAATCACAAAACCCGGTAATAGCAGAAGCTTCAAAAAATCAAGCTTCAATTTTATGCTTTTCGATTCATGCTTTAACCCTCTTTTGCGCACCGTACTGGAAGATGGCATCCGCAAAAACCACTATAATGGCGCGTCGTGCCTAAAAGATTAACGCTTTGCCGTGTTCGCACGTTTCATCAATATGTTTTCGTTTTGCGCCGGTAGAACTGACTATTATTACATCGTGAAACGGAAAAGCGTAAAACCGATGAAACGAAAATGCAACAAGAATGAAACAGAAGACAATATACATTTGTTTCTTATTATCTCGGTCTCCTCTTTGTGCGGTGCTTCGTAACTTCGTAGTCTCCCCACTCTTGGCTACTAAGCGTTGTACATATATGTGTGCTTGTGTGTGTAACTACATATTACAAAGCGTACACTCCTATTAGTATTTCTGATATTCTGCATTCGTCTCATTCTCTTGTAGGTTAGTTTCTTGAAGGTTTTACTTCAAACGTATGTGATCTGCACTCTCATCTGTTTTTATTCTTCATTTTTTTTTATTTCAAAAAAGAAACATATAACAGTTTATTATTATACCTTATTAAAAGTTGATAATAATGCGAGTTGTAAGATATCTTCTAGTAACGTTACTAAAATAAGATGAAACATTATTCTTTGACTTTAACCGTCTGATAATAATGACATTCTTTGTAAGAATGTAAAATATTCTTTCTTATCTCTCTTTCTCTCTCTCTCTCTCTCTCTCTCTCTCTCTCTTGGTCTTTTACTATCTCTCTTCCTTATAGAAAATGATTAAGAAGAAAATAAGGTTAGAAGAGGATAGTGCAATATGTTAGGAAATAATTCATCGTAACTGAGTCGGTGAATCATTCCTCTCCCCACCACCACTAACGTAATCCGTGGTTTCCTTCGCGGCAATAAATTACAATTTTATAATCCCCGAACGTCTTTTGGCGTTTCACGGCAAAAGTAATCTACGAGTTCTCGCGAAATAGCGTAAGATAGGTAAAATCAGAAAATGATAGTAAATGTCAGTAGAGAAGGAAAGTTTACGTTTTTTCTTGTCTCGCGATAAAATCACAAAACATAAATACATATGTGTAAATCACAAAACATTAGAAGTGAAACCATAAAAAAAAACCAAGCTTTGAGAGAATGAGACAAATGAACAGTATCAAAAGTAAGCTAATTGTAGGGTTCACTTAGTATAATCTTAAAACCAAATATGTATTCATATAAAAAATAATATTATATTATTTAATAAATATTGATTTAAAATAATATAATATTAACAGAATTACATATTGATATAGGATACAATTAAATTATTATTTATATTTATATATATATAAAAAATAAAATAATACTTATAAATTAAAAATTAATATAAAAAATATTATATTATATTAGAAATTATATGTTCATATAAAATATTATTCTGTTACTAGTTATATCTAAAAAAAAATAAACTACATTAATTAAACTGAAAATATAATTGAGAATAAAATTTTTAAGTAAAAAAATTGATAAAATAGAAGAGTTAATTTTAAAAATCCTGATTAAATAAGCATATCACTTAAAAAAAAAAATAATTCTACAAAATTATATTTTTATAAAAAATAATCTATATTACTAAAAAGTAATATATATCATAGAGAGCACGGCATGGCTCAGTCGGTAGAGCGCTCGACTCCCGCCCGGAGTTCGCGGGTTCGAGTCCCCGCTCTCCGACATCGAACGAGGGGGGCATGCCCTGTGTGCTCGTCGGTCGTGGCTTTGGGCTCGTGGGCGTCAGAAAAATGATCCCATTGGGGACCACCGCCAACATTCGATGTGGGTGGGCTTGAGGGGGGACCCTAGACACTACTGTGTGCGGCACTTCGCACGGAGGACGTGACTGCCCACGGGAACCCCACAATGATAAGTGCTCCCCGCAAGGGGGGCCCCCGGGCCACAATGGTTTAAGGACTGAGCGCCCGGGATAACAAACCACACGAAAAAAAAAATATATATCATCTAGATTATATAATCATATAAAATAAAATAAAAWTAGGCAATTACCGAAAAGTCCGTAGGGTGGGTAATTCCGAAAAGTCGTGAGGTTTTTTCCGAAAAGTAGTGAGGTTTTTGTATTACCAGTATCATCTAGTAAAGAAGGATTGTAAATTATCCTAATGCTTGAGTATTTTTTACGGTTTTCATGAAATAGTTTTGCTTATGAGAAGAATGCGAACACTAGCGACCAGTCGAAGAACTAACTACTGTTTTTAAGGTAGTTCTTCGATTGACCACTATACAGGTTTAGTATCGATATTTTATAAGCTACGCTTCGTAGTTGCAGTCGCACACAAACACACACATATACAAAACTTAGTAGTCAGAAGTAGGGACTACGAAGCAGCGCATCGGGAGGAAACCGAGAATAGGTAAAATTGTATAGCTATATTGTGTCTTATCCTTTCGCAGGCTCAAGCCTATATATTTGTCTCTTTTCTTTTCTTACTTCCGTTTTGCCACCGCTCGCCACAACGTTACACCGCGCCGTGTTTCATTTTTTTATAAATCACTCTAATTCTAAAGAAGTTTTCACTTAAAAAAAATAAAAAAAAGAAAGAAAAAGAGAAAATGAGAAAAGGAAAAAAGAAGGAAAGAATTAGGTGAAATCGTGCAATCCAAAGAAATATTACCTCGCTCGGTCCGTGTGTTTCAGTGTCGTCTGTCGATACGTCAACCCCAGAATGGCCCCCAACTCCGATGGAATCGACGTTTCTCGTCTAGGTCATTTGAGCTTATTCAGCCGAATAGTGGAACACATTTTTTTGTGTGTGTCCCAGCCCCAACCCTCATCCCTTTTCTTAACCCCTCTTACCTGGCGTCAAAATCTGCTGAAAGATTTCTAAATCTAAGTTGATTTTGACGCGCCTGTTGTCGTCTCACACACACACCGATTCATTCTTATTTCTTACTATAGTATTTACGATCGATCTGGGGGAAGGAAAACACTGAATCTTTCTAAATTCACCTTCGACAATAAAATATAAATGAAACGAGATCAGGAATATGTACTTAAACATCTGTGAGTGTGTGTGTGTGTGTGTGTGTGTATGTGTTACCGTGAAATAACCAAAATTGCATAATGTCAAGATTCACATGATCGTTTGATGTATGTCCGAAATATTAATGTGCATAAGAATGAACCTCAAATATTCGGTCTTTCATCGATCGTATTTGGTATGTGTTTAACATTTCACCATGTGAATCTTGACATTATCCAATTTCGGTATTTCACAGTAACATATGTGTGTGTGTGTGTGTGTGTATTTGAGTATAACAGTGAACTATATAAATGACAAAGCAATACTATCATCATCCTTATTGGAATGAACAATTATTAATTTGTCCAAACAGGAGATCAAAGCCACGGATTGTGAGGAACGCGTTGAAGAGGAGGATCTTGACGGGCATGAACTAATACCGTCCCCTGACAGTGGCAAGTCAACGGACAACGAGGGAGCTCTATCTCCGATCAAAATACGATCCGACGTTAATGGCTTGGATCACGAGGATTGCGATGAATTGATCCAGGTCGAGAACACAGCTCAGGCCTGCATCATGCACGCCCTTAGCATCGTAAGTTTATTATCATTTTATAATTCCCTATTCATTTATTTTTGATAGATGTTAGGGTTCAGTGAAACACCGAAATTGGATAATGTTGAGAATCACGTAATGAATGTCAACACATACCAAATGAATATGGTTGATTAAAAACTGAACATTTGAATGAATTCTTGCACGTCAATATTTCGAACCATGTGAATCTTGACATGTTCCAAGTTTGGTCTTTCACGTTTACATAGGACACAAACAATAAAATTGTTTTCTTCTTCAGACACCCTCTACCCAACCCCCCAATCCCCTCCGGTCACCAAGCGTAAACTAGTAAAAACGTTTAAAATTGGATAAACCATGACCCCCCTGGGGGTATGGAATTAATTCACAAGTCTCGAGCAAAAGCTCTTGCGCTTTCTGTGATAATGAACCTCGTCGTAGGAACGTTAAAGTAGCGGAAAATAAAATGAAAGGGAAAAAGAAAGAAAGAAAAAGAAAACAGTCTTGTATAAAGTGTAATTCAAACAAATATAAAAAAAAAAAAAAGACAAGTATAACTTCAACGCCCATATTGAAATTGAACGACGAACGAAAAAAAATTACGTTGAAAATGGGAATGCAAGCAACGGTGTTGAGGGTGTGAGTGTGAATAGAGTTAGGTGAGAAGTAAAAATTGATGAAAAGAAAAAAAAAAGTAGCGAAGTAAAAAAAAAAAAAAAAAGAAAGGGAAGAGTAATCTCGGTAGAGAAAAACTGACGGTAGAGGAATTTTCTCGGACGTAGAGGATCGTTGTGTAATTGGGAAAGTAAAGCGTATCCTTCTACGGGTTACCCGGTAAGACGAGATGCTGCTACGTTGGCGGAGCAAGTTGGGGGTGAGATGGGAGGAGTTGGGAGAGGGGATGGGGTGATGGCAGATCGTAAAGACTGTAATGGACCCCCTTTAACTTCCTAATGACCGATACCACGAACGGGCGGGTGAGCGAGCTCTAGCGAGTGAAAATCGCTGGAGGGTAGGAAACGAGAGAATAGGAATGGGGTTGGTGCTTGCCAAGGGATGCCAGACAGCCTAGGACGAAACTGTTAAAAGCAGTCGTTCTCGTTGTTACTACTACAACTACAACTACTATTACTAATACTAATACGTGGAAGCATATTACGAAAGATCGTAAACCGATCAACAACTGTATATTCCTACCTATGTATGTATAAACATGTGTATATGTATATATGTATATGTATTTGGTGTAAGAGAGGAAGGATCGTTTGTAAAAGCTTTCTTCGCGACAATAAATCAAACTGGCGAGCTAACCAAAACGTTCGGCAGTCTGTTTCACTTCCTTTCTCACTGTTTTTCACTCTGTTTCTCTCTCAGACTCACTGACTCGTTCACATTTGCTCGTATTGTTCCTATTCGTGTGGCGAACTGTTCGGTTTCACGCGTACCACCCGGACGATCATTGCCAAATGTATCGCCGAAGCTGAGCCACAAGCGTGTAATGACCGCATAAACCAGTTATGGTTTCCTATATCATCGTAAAGCAACGTCGAACGGGTCGGAAACCTACCTGCCTGCCTGCCTGCCTGCCCGCAGGCTTTGCGGGTATGCGAATTCTGCGTGTTTTCCGTTATATCGAAATATACTTAATCTTTTCTTTTTGTTGTTGTTTTTTTTTTGTTTTCATCTTCTCAAGACATTTCATAGGAATTCTTCAAACCATTAATTAGGCACGGCTAAATGTTAAGCGAGCTTGTTTCTTTGTATGGCAGGATTCAACGAGAATTAGGTGTAAACGGTAAAACTACGATGTGTGACGATAATAATAAAATTACGTATAATACATTTAAAAAGATGTTATCCTCAAAAACCATTATAGTGACGTGTCGTACTGGAAAATGACAATCGTGAAAGCCACTATAATGGCGCGTAGTGTCTAAAAGATTAATCTTATTACATATAACCAAAAATTCTTTTCTACCCTAACTTCTATCTATTCAGGTTCTCGTATTTGACAAATTGACGATTATTTCGAACGATCATTCGGTTATGATTGATTTAACAATAGAGAACAATTTATTTTCCATTAGGAAAAGAACGTGAAAATCAATATTACGAGAAATATAATGTATAATAATAATAATACTTTTCTCCGAGATATTCGACGGTCGACTATCTCGTGTTTCACCCTTATAATAAATGAAAAACAAAAGAAGAAGAAAAAAATATAGAAAAAAAAAAAACATCGTTGTGGGTGGAAATAAATAATAAAAACAAAACAAAAAAAAAAGAACAAATACGAACAGCTTTATCTAAAGAAGAAGAAGAAGAAGAAGAGAGGTTTCGTCGAATTAAAAACTGGTTAGGAGGAGGGAGGGAGGGGGAGGGGGGAAAAATAAAAACAAACAAAAAGGGATTGATAAAAAAAGGCTAAAGGTGGTCGACAGACGTCAGATTTATCGTAGTTCGAAACGAGTTGTAAATTTTAGTTTGACTTCAACCCTTTTTCCCTTGTCCGTTCTCTGACCAACCATCCACCCTCCCCTATCCCTCCCTCCTATCCTCTTCCTCTTCATTTCAACTAAATAGTTGACCAAAAAGAAAAAAACGAGAAAAAAATAATAAAAACGTCCTAATAATATATTTTTCTCGTACTTTACTCTACCAATGCTCTTTTTCTTTCTCATTTTAGGACTCGTCGTTGGAACTCAACTCAGACGCGAACTCTAGGGGAAGTTCTGGCCCGGTCATGGCGTTGACTAATGGATCCTTGTCCGCTAAGGAATAAGTCAAGAAAGAATTAACCACCATAGGAATAATATGGTCTTCCCTTTTACCCAGGGATTCTCGAACCAACACGCAACCAACCCCAAAACCAACGAGACATATCGATCTCCTTTTAAGGATATATATATACATGCATACACACACTTTAACTGAGAAAGAGAGAGAGAGAGAGAGAGAGAGAGAGAGAGAGAGAAAAAATCGCCATGTATATAGCTTAAATGCCTAACAAATAATTCAAGAATCTCGTTCCATGCCATATAATACTACAAAACAATTCGTCTATCGTACATTGGCAAATTTTCGAATATCAATCGAAGAAACTCGATTTGAGGAAAAGGGAACGAACAGGGGGGGAGGGAGGGAGGGTTAGGTTAGGATTGAGAAATAGGGGAGGCGGGATGAATCGGGGGAAGGTGAAATATTATCAAGAGAATGCGAGAATTATTGGGAAATAGAAAATATCAAACGGTATTGTCATCTCTTCCCTATGGAATGTGTATAGATTCGTTAGAATTCAATTTGTGATTTTCTAATCAAACATGCGAATGAAACACACACACACACACACATACATACATGCATTGCATACATACATACACTCAAAGACGCGCGTATTTTAAGTGTATAAGCAAACGCGTATTTTGATTTGATTCGTTATTTATGAAAAAAAAATAAAAATAAAAAAAAATATTGTCAATTGAAACGTTGAGATGTTCATTTTGTTTTATTTTTGTTTATATTTTATTTTTCTAAACAAAATTATTCAAAGTATATAGAATGTTATAGAATGTGTTAAATTGCTTAATTTATTTATTTGTATTATTTATTTATATTTTGTTGGATATTATTAATATTTATCTTTTTAACACTAGATTTACGGACTGTGCCAGTTTTTGGACTCGTTCAAAATTTGATTACTGTAGATGTATATGCAAAAAATTTAAATATTATGTTTTAAAAACATATATATTGGTTTTTAACCCTTTGAGTAGTGAATATACTTACTTTTACATAAAATTTTTGTGTACGAACAAAATAGTTTATTATTAACCACATTCTAATAATAAATTATATTTAATAATTGAAATTTTTGTCTCTGAATATAATTTAATTGATTAATACAATTATTACATTATCTCACATTAATATTAACAAACACATATGCGTTTAACGATAAGGTTAGTAATTTTTAACAAACGCATATATGCGTTTATAGCACTCAAAGGATTAATTACGTAACGAAATGTACGTAAATATTAATTACTCCATTTTACTACTCAACCCCTTTATTTAAACAATGTTTGTAAGTTTTTGAAAAATAGTAGAACAAAACATTCGAAAATCTAGTGTTAATTAAAATCAAAATCATAAGAGCTTGTCTGATTTTTGTTAACAAATTTAATTGTTATAAAAAATGCAATCATTTTAGAATGAAAACGTATATTTATATACAGGGTGATTCAATAACTATTACCAACTAAATAACTTCGAAAGTATGATGATTGCTGAAAAGTTTATTAAGAAAAAGTTGCATGAAAAATTCAGGACTATAATAAAACATTAAAATTTGTTTGCTATGTTCAGTCATTTTCAAGATTTATTGGTCAACTTTGTTTTTTTAAATACAATGTTATATTGTAATACTTATTATCGGATAGCGGCTGACAAGACGAATCCAACGATATGCAACATTAAATACAAAACTTGACAATGACCTAATAAAAACTATTCGAAAAATATCTGTTCCGTCCGTTGTCGAAACAACTGAATGATTACGCAATTCTGACGCAACCCTGACGCGATCATGACGCAACCATGACGCGGAAAAGCTGTATTACGGCCGGCGGCAGCTTATTCGCAAATTCTGACCATTTTTGTACATCAAAAATATCAATGTTGCATATCATTGGATTCGTCTTGACAGCCGCTATCCGAAAATAAGTATTAAAATATAACATTGTATTTAAAAAAACAAAGTTGACCAATAAATCTTGAAAATGACTGAACATAGGAAATAAATTTTTAATGTCTTATTATAGTCCTGAATTTTTCATGCAACTTTTTCATCATCCACTTTTCTGCCACTATCATTCTGACCTATTTAAGTTGCAAGAACTGGTGAATCATCCTGTAAATATAATCAGGCCGTCCGTACGTGGTAAAAAGAAAAAAAAAACAAAAGAACAAAAATTCTACGAGAAGGATTTATATGTATATAAATGTTTTTTTCTTAATACGCGTGTCACGAAACAAAAAGTGAGAGAGAGAGAGAGAGAGAGAGACAGTGACAAAGAGTGAGAGAGAGAATAAGAACACGAATAGGAAAAAACCAAAAAAATTCGAAGAAACTTGGAAATATGCGCGATTGTAAATAAGGAATCCTTTTTTTTTTGCGTTACTTTTACATACAAACTTCGCAAAAAAAAAAAGAACAAAAAATAAAGGGAAAAAAGAGAAAGAGAAAGAGAAAGAGAGAGAAGGAAAGATTAATTACCTCTTAGAGTGTTGTAAATATTACGCTTGTAATTTAAGTTAGTGCTTAAAGAAAAAGAAAAAAAGAAAAAATGGAAAAAGTGAGATAATGAAAATGAAAGAGAAAGATAGAGAGAAAGAAAGAGAGAGAGAGAGAGAGAGAGAAGAGACAACTAATGGTCTGTTATTTTATTGCGATTATTATTACAATAATAAAAAATATTTTCTAAGCGCGTATAACAAAAAAAAAAAATCCTTCTCGGACATTCGCAAAACGCTTATTATTACTATTATTGTTAACCCTTTTGCTGCAAAAACAGCGCCTTTTGACGCTCGACTATGGACACTTCCTCTAAGCAAACGGCGCCTTTTGGCGCTCGACTATGGACAGTTCCTTTGAACGAACAGCGCCTTTTAGCGCCGTAAATTTGATTTACGAACATTTCGCGTACCTTGTTGTCCCTACAAACAACCTACTATTGCGCCCCGGCTGCTGAGAGGCCAACATTTTTAGGCGCTCCGCAGCGAAAGGGTTAATTAAATGTTTCATTTTTTGTTTCTTAATTCATATTTTTCAATCTATGCACAGCTAAAAGAAAAAAAAAAAGAAAGAAAGAAAAATAATAATAATAAAAAAAAAAAATATAAGACGATGAAAAGGAAACCTTCCCCCCCCCCCACACACACACACCATTTGAAGCCCAAATTTCACGATTAAATTAATGGCATGGAATCGATCGAGTGGTATCATTTAGCGATTTTAAGGATATTTTAAAAATGAAATTATTATTATTAGTCGAACACAATTAAGAAAGGAAAAAAATGAAAAGGAAAAAAAATGAAAAAAAGAAAAAAAAACAAATAATGCGCGAGGATTGATCGTGAATAATAATAATAATAATAATATTAATAATAATATTAATAATAATAATAATAATAATATGAATAATATTAATAATAATAATAATAATAATAATAATAATAATAATAANATAATAATAATATGAATAATATTAATAATAATAATAATAATAATAATAATAATAATAATAATAATAATAATAATAATAATAATAATAATGTTTATGTTTCATGATTCGCAAAATGGTCTCCTCCTAACTCCACACATCACTCTTATATTATTATTATTATTATAATATGAACCTTCTTCTTCCTTTTGTAGCGTTCACACACACATACACACATACACACGAATAAAAGTATACATTGCACGTATACACAAATACTATTACCTAACTACTTATCTCAACTCTTACCCATAATACAACCCCATAATACTCATACACATTTTACATACACATACAATATTATAATACGTATACAAACACAGTATGGCAACAAAAAAAAAATGATGAAAATGATCGAAGAAAGAAAAGGGATAGAGAAAAATAGAAAAAAAGAGTGAGAGAGAGAGAGAGAGAGAGAGAGAGAGAAAGAGAAAGAGAGAGAGAAATAAACAACCACAAAAACCAAAATAAATTAAAAACATTTCAAGTTTTATCGAAAAAAAAAATAAATAAATAAATAAATAAAAAATAAATAAAAAAATAAAAATAAAAAAGCGAGGAATATTAGCGTGCAATAATTGTTAAGACGTTCAATATATCAAACGTGTATTTTTGATGATGTACGAATCCAATTTTCTTCCATTAAGAAAACGAGAGAGAAAGATGAACGAGCGAAAGAGAATGAGAGAAAGAGAGAAAGAGAGATAGAGATAGATAGATAGTGATAGAAAGAGATAGAAAGAGAGAGAGAAAAAAAAACCACAAAATTCATGATTTTAATTCAACCCTCTCACTTTCGCTTATTTTCTTCTTCTTCTTTTTATTTTTTTTTTTGATTCTTTTTTCTTTTTCTTCTTCGTTTTCTTCTTCTTCTTTTTTCTTCTTCTTTTCGTTCGTTCGTCTCGCCTGTGAATCACATTATTCATTAGAAACGGAAAAAGTTTTCGTTAATTTTATGCAAACGATCGTATTATAAAAAGCACAGAGTTGACAATCCAACGATTAGTTTACAAGGGCGATAAAAAGAAACAAAAACAAAAACAAAACAAAAAAGAGAGAGAGAGAGAGAGAGAAGAAAAAGTAAATACTTAAAAACCAAACGAAAGCAAAGAAAAAGAAAAAATAAGATAAAATAAATAAAAAAACTGAAAGAAAAATCATATTAATTATTACACCAAAATTATGAAACCAAATTTTGGTTGATCAAATGATGATAAAAAAAAAAAAAAGAAGAAAAGAAAAAAAGATTCTTATTAATCGAAGTAATTTAATCCTTAGTTGATTTTTCTTTCTAAAAAATGAGAGAGAAAATAATTGATTTGATTAGGGTGTCATTAACGTAAACATGGTGGTTTTTAATTTAATGAGAAAAATACAACAATTCACAGAACGATAATTACCTGTACGTAATAACTTTTTTTCTTTTTTTTTTATTCTTTTGTTTTGTTTTTTTTGTTGTAATTGATTCTTACTTTTCTTCTTTTCCTGTTTCTTTTTTATTGTAATTTTTTTTTTTATTTGAGAAGCCTTTGTTGCTTCGTTGAAATAATCCTAAGAAAAAAAAGTGTGTCCACGAGAAATTATGATAACTTGAATAAATAAATAAATAAATGAATAAATAAACGAAAAAAAAAACAATTAAAAAAAAAAAAAAAGAAACAGAAGAAAAGAAGAAAGAAAATAGAAAATAGAAAAAAAAACACAGATAAATAATAATGAAAGAAAGGAAGAGAAGAAAAAAGAGATGCAAAGGGGAAAAATGAAAAACAAAAAAAATACAGAAAAAAAAAAGAAAGAAAGAAAACATAGAAAATTATATTTGGTATGAAAATAAAAAAAAAAAATAAAAATAAATAAATAAAAAAGTGAGTTATATGTAACCACCGCGTCGTCCTCATAAAATTTGTAGTTTTAAGCAGCGTTATTTGCTCGATAAAATCGAGT